AAGCCTCTGGGGTCTTGCCACTGTTACTCCTTTAATGATTTCTTCCTCTCCTTCTCCTTCTGCCCTGGCTAATAAGCCTTGGCTGGCTCTCCCTTTACAGAGTTCTCAGCTTCTGCTCATTCAGTTTTCATGGACCTGAGATGCCCTCCCCGCCTACTCTGTATTCCAGTGGCCTTTCTTTTCTCCTTCAGAGATGTCTGTCAGGAAGCTGAGTCTGCAGCCCCACAAAGGACATGCTACAGGAAAAAGGAATCTGGAGAATATTCCTCACAGCAGAGTGTGAGAGCCCACCGGGGCTGTAGAAACTCCCCAATGCAATCTCTCTACATTTCTCTCTTTTAGGGGATGCAGAAAGCCCCAGAGTTTAAGTGATTTGCCCAAAGCCAGGCTGTCCCAGCTGTTTTGATCACCAGCCCCTCCATTCTTTTCTGTCTTCAAACACAATCAAATCAGATTCCCCAGGGAGGGCTGGGGAATCTTACTTATCCACAGACTTGGAAAAAGGAGATTCCAGACCCTTCCTCAGACTCCTCTGGTAATTTGTCTCTCTCTCTCTCATTTTTTCTACATTCTCAATGCTCATGGAGTTAACCCCAGGTGATTCTCAAATGGTACAGTCACGAAAGGGGAAGCTAAACATCCTGTACTCCCAGGGACGGTCCCAAACAAGGAAGGACTGTCCCTCCCCAAATGCCAGGAGTGTCCTCATTGAGAACACGGCGATCCATGCTTTGCAGTTGGCTGACCTTGCTGAACTCAGAACGACATTAACGCGGCAACACCATCCTCCCCAAAAGGCTGCCCGGCACGCAGTGCAGACCAGGCTGCGCTCAGGGCCTTCTCCTCCCAGCTGTTTACCCCCAAACCTTGGCAGAGCAACAGAGGACTCCCAAGGTACAAAGGGCCAGGGGTTGCCAGAGATGCTGATGTCTCAGTAACAGTTTCCATAGACCTGATTTCGATAAACACTCGCCTCGACGTTCACTCTGTACACAGGAGCCATGGCGGGCACATGCCTGCAAGCCCTGAGAGCCCGGCGGGCCCAGGGCAGGGGAGCACCCAGTTGCCACACTTTGTTTTTATATTTTTTCTCCCCAGCACTGAGCTCTAATCACCCATCACCCACTTTTCCCTTCCCTTACAACATTCCAGTTACTCACACCTGGAAAGCCCTCAACAAAAATTCAATCCGTGAGGATTCAAGTACTCAAGGCGGGCAGGGAGTTCAAATCACATTTAAATTATGTTGCTTATTATTGCTGTTCCCTCAATTCTAGGCTTTGCCCATTGGGAACATAATTTCTTGGATGGAAGTCAACAATCACGACAATCTCCCAAGGCATAATCTAGACGCCTCACAAAGATGTGCACTGGGATCTCCCCTCATCTAAGGAATTAAGACACATCTAATAAGAGATCTAAAAAGGAGGATGTATTAGAATAAGTCTCAGGAGAAGTTGTGGAATAGCGTCATTACTTGTGAAATTCAAATCCAGCAGGGAACAAAAACCAGAAGAATTAGCGTCCCTCGGGCAGTCACACCTACTCCCAGGACAGGAGAATTGGCTCCAAGACAGAAGTCATTAGACATGGGTGCTGCTTCTGAGCACAAAGAAATGACCACCTAGGAGGTGAGGCCCTCCAGGTCCTCCCGCCCAGTTGCTCCCCAGAACCACCGAAGGAGCTCTTGAAGCTGTATCAGTACCCACATCCTACTCCTAGAGTTTCTGCTTCAATCTGTCAGGAGTGAGGCCCAAGCACTGTTTTTCTTTCTTTCTTTCTTTTTTTTTTTTTTTTAAGAAAGCTGCCCAGATGGTTTTAAATATGCAGCAGGACTGAGAACCACTGGTGCTGGAGGTTTCCAATCGGGAAGATCAGAGAAGGCACTGTGGAGGAGGAGGCTTCTGAGCTGGTCTTTGAGAGACGTTTTAATGTGCCGACAGGAGGCACAGGACTTCCAGGCAGACAAGCACAGGCAAAAAAACAGTGGGAAGGAAAGATGGGGCAAGAATTATGTAATTCCCTATGAGCTGAACATACAGTGTGTGGTGGAGAGTGGTGAGGAGCTTGAGCCAGGTGCTAGAAGGCTGTGAATGGCCAGAGAAAGGGACGTGCTTGATCCAGGTTGGGGTGGGGACCACACCTTCCCTGCTCCTGAGCCTGCTGGACAGGCAGGTGGGCACTGGCTGGCCATCCTGCAGAACAGGACACTGGCCGTGGAAAGGGGCCTGTGCTCCTTCTCTAGGTGCCGTGCCTAGCACAGAGCTTTACAAAGTGAGTTCTAGAAACTACTGGTCCGTTGATGTTAATGGGTTCACCACCACCCAAAAAAGGGGAGGGGGAGAGGCTAGGTTTTTTGTGTGTGTGTGTCGGGGGAGGGGTCAATACACAACTGTTTTTGGTAAACACTGGATTAAAAATAAAACATGTCTTTCTTGCAGGATCTCAGGACTGTACACTCCAACGTGCACTGTAAAATCCA